TGACACATAAAGGAACACAATAGTGTCGCACTTGGCTTAGCGCCGAGACACTACCAGATTTCTTAAGGGAATGCTTTTTACATCAAATTTCTTGAGTATTTTATGAGTATTCATTACAATTGTGAATCAGTGTAAATATAACATATATTTATAACATAATCAATTTATGACTAGTAACTTAAGAAATTTGGATTTCATTGTTATTCTAATTGTGCTGTATCAGCGACTAAAAAATATGTTACTATACAATATAGAAATACTTTACATATAGTATATTATTACTGTATCGCTAGTCATGTTAATCTGATCACTCTTTGTTTCATATGAGATCATGCAATATAAAAATTGATAATATATACTGAATATATAAATATGTACACAATAAGGAGGAGATAAAAGTATTATATTTATAGGCTGAGAATATGGCTATATGCCAGTAAATGAGTGGAAGTATTGACATTTAGAAAATGGTTTTTGTAATTGCACCACTTTATAATATTCCCAATTGATATTTGCTGCTATGTTATGTAATGATATATTTTAATGAATAATGTAGTTAATAAAAATATATTTTCAATTACGTTGTCGTATTTTTTAGTCAATAAATTATCAAGAAATGAATTTACTTTATGAAATTAGTGAAATCTTTTATTCTTGTTAAAATCATTTTATATTAAAGTTTTAATATTAATTCGTATCAAGATTAGCGAGATACTATTATCTCGTCGGTAGCAAGAGCAAAAAATGTTACGAGAATTTAGCGACATAAATGTGTTGTCATTTTTTTGCATTTCATTAAAAAGTACTAATAAAAATCATATTATATTTTTAAAACTGTCTTAATATATGCCACAATGTCACGATTTCTTAAGATCTCAGTATGATCTAGTCCAGGAAAACTTTGATTATAAATTTTTTGTACTTGTGATTTCTGCCAAAGTGTGCATGCTTCCAAACTCTTTATATTCACCGTTCCATCGCCATCTCCAACTATTAATTTAGGGTAACCATTTATACTCGTACCTGGCTTATAATACAATCTATAAAAAATAAATGCGAATTTTAAATGGCTTCTTTTATTACGAATTTGAATGAAACAAAAAGTTATATATATATATATATATATATACAAACTTTTCTACTGTGTCCACTTTGCTGCCATATAAACAATGTACTTCAACACCTGGTGCCGTAAAATCCAATTGATATTTCTCATTGTCTTTTCTGAATTCCCAAGCATTAGGAACGTCTATGTCTCTGTAAGTGAAAATATTTCTAAAAATATTTGCGAACAAAATACAGCAGGTATATAATAATTGTCTAAATAATCCACCGTACATAAAATATTGTTGTAAATTGCTCAATGTATAGTTTTTCTGATCCGATTGTACCAAAATATCTGTGTCTTTCCAAAGTAGTTTTGAAGGTAACAGCCATCCTAGACTTGGACTCGTTATCTGTTCGTCTCTTAATACACTTTCACGAAGAAAATATGCACCTAAGTTATCTCCTGTATTAAAATTAAAATGTGTATGTAAAGCATCATATCTCATAAAACAAGATAGTTGAAAAATTTGTATTATACTATTCTGAATTTAAGTTATCTGCTAATTTATTAACAATGTATTCAACAATAATCCATTATTAATGATTGCAGGCAAACAAGATTATACAAATAAGATTGATATGCTTACCAATGGCAAATACTTTAATAGCTTTGGCAGATCCTGCCCATACAGCACTAAGTGTGATAAAGGCATTTATGTATTTATCCTTCCATTTCTGACTTTGACGTTGTAACATTATAAGAGTCATAGGTCCACCCATGCTGTGAGCCAGTAGCGTCACTGGCGTATCGTTATTCATTATATACGTTTCTTCGACTAAAGTTTTCAATTTAGCGAAGAATTCTTCATTTTCACCTGTAGTTTAAGGTCTTTATCTCGGTAAATTTGTAGTACAATCGAATAAAATATATGATACTAAATGCTAGCGTGTAATGCCTGTATGGAACAATTTATTAATATCATTTTTCTACATACTAGGTCCTTTTCTGAAATCATAAGGCGCGCCACGTAGCGATAAATTCCTGATGTATCCTAAATCGTTTACCAGCATATTCCCAATGTCCTTGAAATACGAGCCTGGCGAGGCTCTGCTAGGATCTATATATTCGACTACAAACGGATTGCCCCATCCCGGTATCCTTACGTCTACTCCGGGTTGATTGCTAGTGGTCCTCGTCACATTGTCATAATTCAATTTAAGATTATCTATCTGCAATAGGATTCAAATTTACTTTCAAATTATTCAGCGAGAAAAAGACTAGAGCTACGCATGATAAATCAATGATCGTACAAAGCAGTCTATCACGACAGGTACAAGCAGTTCCATGTTCAGCCACAAGCTAAAATAATCGTCGGATGCTTTCGCACAGATATAATGCACCACTGATGACTTGTTAATCTTTGCCTCGACCTGGCTGCCGCCATCACCTGGAACTGGAATATCATTTTCCTTCGTAAGTAGACGCGCTTTTCGCAACGTTTCAATAAGTCGATATCTCCGAAGTTCTATGACACTACGATAAGAATCATATATCATCAAAGGAGAGAATCATACAAAGCGGCACTTCAGAGCCGTTTCGACCTCTAAAGTGCAGACAGAAAGGATCATGATAACTTTCGGCGAGCCGAACGCTTTCAAAAATATCCCATACACACATCACCTCCAAGAAATATCCTAAAGACATCCAGAGGACATCTCTATGCCCTTCCTGAACATCTTAAGGATATCAAGATGTCTCAGATAAAAATATGATTTGTATGGACAGTAATAAGATGTTTTGTTTTTTTTGACTTACCAAGAATAACGGGCGATATTTGTTTGGTTTTGGCGTGCCAGGGTCTCACCAGTTGCGTGGTGAGCGAGAGAACAATTATGCTCAGGAGAGCTGCCAGGCGCATTGTTTGTCGCGGCTATGATTTTAAACGACAGGCGGATTCTCGCGGGAAAGAAACACGTGTATATCTTGGAAATTAAACAAACTTGGCTGTTACTCGACGAACAATGTCTCTTCCGTCAACTCTTGATCTAACAAAATGGAAATATCATATGCTCGTCACAACACTGCGTTGTACTTTGTTGTTTGTTTGCTCCAGTCACGATAATCAGCTGATATCGCCTCACGCGTTGAAGTAGACGACACTCGCGATCAGCGACAGCCAATCGAAGCGACGAACGAGGATAAAAAGTATTATTCCATTGGCACGTACGCTTTGGTACGCTTTCGTAAGCGATTGTTCTGATCGATCGTAATTGCCTCTTCCTGTATTTGTGTATTTGTAAAACATATTATTATATTTAAGTTATCGATAAACGAGTTTAATGACGTTGAAAGAGAGAAGAGTATTATCGATAAACGCGAATTTAATGACGTTGAAAGAGAGGAGAGTAAACACGAATTTCGTCATTCCAATTATATAAACTTGCGTTTTAGATTAGCTTATGTTTATATAATTCTTTTTTCGAGATGCTTCGTTTTGTGTGAAACAAAACGAGAAAAACGCACAAGGATATAAAAGCTGAAACAAACAGATTTATGGCCAGTTTATAGTTCTATTTTATTGCTGATTTTGCGATAAGTGTCAATTGCGTCAGAATGGAGTCAAAGACAAACAAGTTTGAATGTAGAACATAAAAAATATGATTCATCAATCGTATGATGTCTTAAATTGCCAAAGACTCGTCTTGTTTTGCGATCGCCTTCGCCAGTATTCCACACAGCACAAAGCTCCGATCATTTTGCTGAGCTCTCGGCGAGCTTAAAAAAAGCTCCCTCTGAACCAAAATGAAGCTCCTAGGGAATTCTCAAAAGCGGACAGGAGTTCCCGGGGATTCTTTTTGAAGCTTAAATAAAGCTCACAAAAATTTTATGAGCTCCCCGTGTTGTGTGGAATATATTTGTTCTCATTCCCTGGTGAAAATTTTTCTCATAATTTTTATACAAATTGGAACATTTTTCAGAAATACTCAGAAATATTTGGAAAGTTTACATCTTTTCTCAGAATTTTTTGTACAAGTGAATTCTGAAATATTCTGAAATTTTTCATCCCATAATTTTTAAAAAATATTTTTTAATTTTTTAAATTTTATAACATTTTATCAGAAATTATACTTACAAAAATTTTAAGAAATCTGACGATATTTTATAAGTAATATATATGAAAAATTTTTAGAAAAGATGTAGATTTTCTGAGAAGTGTTCCAATTTGCGTATAAAAAATGTGAGAAATTTTGAAAAATTATATGAAAAATTCTGAGAAAAATTTTCACCAAGGTTATTTAATATTAATTTAAAAATAACGTCTAGTTTTTTTATAATGTATACAAGCATGTTTTTCTTTTATGTACTCTACATAAATCTACACGTGTCACAATTAAGTCACAACTCACGTTGGCAAAATAAAAATCAAGAATAATGAAAGTATAAACGAAATTTTTTTAAGACTTCTTTTAGCATATATTAATTTATTTGAATTTTAAATGTCAATTTTAAATGTCACTTTTTTATCCACATGATCGAGAGTAGAGATAAAAAAATCTGAGTAAAAAATCGAGTAAAAATCAATTCCTTATTTTAGTCTTAAAAATTACTCCGAGATTTATTTTCTTTGGACAAATGATGACATACATATATTATTATTAATTGTTCTAAAATTCATTCGAAACTTTTGTATTCATCCAAAAGATTTTTTAAATAGTTGTAAACAATAAAAATACAGTACAACAACTAGTAACGATAGCCATGCAGAATTATTATCTTTTTTTAGAGTTTTGATAAAAAAACATTTTTTTACTGTACAAATTGGTGTTCAATTTATTGAGTTTTTACTTCTAACTATAAATAAAAACCTTGGTTTTTTAAATTTCTAATTAAAGAAAAAAGTTGCAATAAAATTTGCACGAGAAGTAACATTTGAAAAATCAATTTCCGGGTTTCCACGTCGTTTATTACCAGCGTCCCGTCGACGTCGTTGGGGATCGAACCGAGTACGTTGTTGGATCAATCGACAGTGCTTGGCACTGATCGACACCAAAGACAGCGAGCGACAGCACGCCGAGGTCGCCGAGCCGAGCATTAGAGGGTAGATAAGGGAGGATCTAGGAGGATCCATTGCGTTGGACCGGACCGGACGAGCCGAGCTTTAACCCTCGTTTCCTCCCCTCCGGTTAAAGCGTCGAGGATGGCCGATGTCAAACAAGATCACAAGGGCGAGGACGTTGACAGCTATGGAATGGGCAACAGCGCCGACCCGAAGAACATGCAGGAGCTGACGCAATACGTGAGTCCGCGTATTTACGCACAGGATGACGATGACGCATCCAGGGACGATCCGTCGCGACGCGATCCTGACGCTACGTTGACTCCTTTGCAGGTGCAAACGCTGTTGCAGAACATGCAGGACAAGTTTCAAACCATGTCTGACCAGATCATAGGAAGAAATATCCTTTTTCTCATGCTTAACCTAAAACGGTGCTGCAGCTGTTGAAGCGGCATTTGTGGAAAAATCTGTGTTGACATTTGATCGTACAGTATCATGTAACTGGTTGTCTGTCGTATTAATTGCGTCAAGTTTTTTACTGTATTGCCAAGTAGATTATTTATCTCTGAACGTAAGTAGTAAAAAACAATAGCTGTTTTTGTTGCTATTAATTTTGTGAGTCATGCTTTAATTTCAATAATTAGGAAGGCAACTTTATGTCTATGTGACTTCAAAATTTTGTGGCATACGCTTTTATATTCCAACTAGTTGTTTATAAAAGATTAAATAAATGTGTTCTTTTTAGCTGAATTTCTTGTATGTTCATTTTCTTTTTTTTCACGTTGATAAAAAAGAAAAGATAAGCTGTTCAAGAAAAAGTTTAGCTAAAAAGAACCTGATATATATATTGTTTGTATGTAAATATTCTGAGCTATATTTATTTTTTAACTATGCATGCCATCCTTTATTTGATTATTAATTGAATTAAATGTTATACGAGCTAACGTATATTTATTTATTATAGTATTAATCATAAAAGTTGACATATATTTATTTATAGTATTAATAATTTCTACAAATATATAATTGTTGTAAGATCCTTAATAAGAAATACTAGATGAAATGGGTAACAGAATAGACGACTTGGAGAAGAATATCGCAGACCTAATGACACAAGCAGGAGTCGAAGGAGGTGATAAATAAGCTCATTCTTTCTTCAATGCACTCGTCTATAAGTATAACGACTTATCTAAAGTATCGCTATACTTTATCATCATGGAAAAAAATTGTATACTGATAGTGAGATACCCATCCTTTTGTTACAATACAGAAAATAAACTTACACTTTTTTAGAAATATATTTTGATATTATTTCAATTCTCGTTTCAGATAACTGAGATATCGACTAAACCGATATAACAATTAGGTTACTCAACTTCAGTGGAATGCGGGTTACATTGATTCTTATATTATTTTTAATGAAGTTTCTCTTATCTTTTTAAAACAATGTTGGGCATCTACATGAACTTAAATTAATACAAATAAGCATTATGCAAGTGTAAGAAAATGTTTACTTTGTTTGATTCAATCTGTAAGGTATGCGATATATTATAGATGACATTAAAGACTTCTGACATGTAGGAATTGCTGGGACGGGTTTGAGAATGAAGCGTTTCTTTACTTTGTATCCAGCGTGTCTTGACACTCTTTTCTAAAAAGATAAAAATGCAAAATATTAAAAGGATGATTAAAATTACATAGATTTCTGCCTAGTTCTCACAGGCTTCTCTCGAATTGATTCTGATTCCGTTTCTTCTGTGCTGTCTGGATATTCTTCAACTTGAACCGACTCGGAAGAGTTTGTGTATGCAGTTCGTATAGAATCCTAAAATTTGTTATATTAAAATCCAAAAATAAAAACTACAGCGATACGTATTCGAATTTTGTACTTACAGCAGATTCGGTTCCTCGATTAGCTAATTTCTGTGACGCCGAAGGCGAAGATGCGAATCGAGTGGCTAAGTTCGTTAATGAGTAAGCCTGTCGAAATGAAGTTCTGCCCACAGTATCTAATCTTGCCACGGAATCGGGAACTCGTAATGTGTCTCGAAATTCCTAAATACAGAAGTAGTACTTTATTTGGATAATGATTACGAGATTGCATCAGCATTTAACAGTAAAGGTAATATTGAAATGTTAAGTGTCTTTCTCATTAAATCGTAATAACAAATATCAATTTGAAGCAAGTTTACCCCGTTCATTTCTCCTCTCGCGTTTTGAAAGTCCTGCATGTTGAAGGATAAACAATATTGACCACACTTGTCATACAAGTATCAATACAGTTACAATACATATTTTATAAATATAATTCTTTTTCAACTTTAACTAGCTAGACATGATTTAAAAAAAAAATTGAAATTAGATCTTCTACCTCACCTCAATATCTTTAATTTCGTCAATAGCTGCAACATCTTGATATGCTTTGGTCAGAAGCTCAAGGGCCTTTGTGTGAAAGCTCAATTCGACAGTGACAAAATCTAAAAGTATGGACTTCAAATCGTGCAACTTTCGTCGTTCGAATGAGTCGATTTGTTCCTCCAGTCCTTTTACTACTCGGGATACTTCGATGGACGCTTTCGTCAGCTCCGATTCAGCTTGAGACTGATATTCTTTTTCAGTTAAAGATTTATAACGTAAGATAACGAGATATTCTTGAAACGACAAACTAGTTATATCGCTTTAAAATTATTTTATTAATATTAATATCTTGTTCTTAATTATTAATTTAATGTTTTGTTTTATTGTTACGAAAGGTCTAGAATTAATTAAGTTATAATTAAAATTAACTGATGTTGAAATAAATGTTTAATTATAAGGATACTATCATTTGACGATTTCTGGGGTTTCTTTCTCGAACTTTGTCCAAATGTTTTCGTCTTGTAAGTTCTCTGTCGCGTGCTGCAAACGTGTTTTTTACATCGTCGCGGGCATGTTTGCAAATCATTGCGTATTGCGAAAGAGGTACAATCACCTTGGCATCCAATCTTTGTACTTCTGCATCTCTGTAGAGCAGATCGATAATTTTAGAAGTGAAAGTAGGTATAAATCAAAATAATGTTAAAGTAAAAGATAAAACATACAACGCAATTAAAATAGCATAGGTAAATCAAACGAAGATTATTTAAAAGATTATTTAAAGGATTTCTAATAATCTCTCTCTTTCGCATTCGATAAGGAATAAAAAGCTATGATTTAATAAAAAAAAATAAAGATTTTTTTTTATTTTATTGTGTGAATGAAGATGGTAACGCTATAATTTTTTATTTTTTAGTTATATATGCCAATATTGAATGTAAAAATTATTTACACAAAAAAGTTAACATTTTTTATACATTATGAAGAAAACTATTAAAGAAAATTATTTGAAACAAACTAGTTTTACCTATAATCACCGATGACTGATAATGTTGCGGAAAAATTCGCTAGTCCGGTGCTCATTGATCGATTTATGACTTCCGAATCTGCGTAAGTTTGTATCATTTTAGCCACTTCATCGCTTTTATCACGCAATCTGAAAAAATAAATTAGTAAATAGCGAACAAAACGGAGCACATTGTTGTCAAAACAATAGAGAATAAGAATATGTCACTAAGGAAAAATAATCGATATGGTTGTTGGTCGGAGGAGCACCTGGCAGCTTTTCTGGTGAACGCTGCGAATATTGAGCATAGCTCGGCGAAATGTTTTTCCACGCCCGTTATGCGATCTTGTACAAACTTCGCTTCTTGCTCACTAGCAAATAAAATAGACATTTAATTTAAGGTTTGTTTACGATTTGTTTATGATATGTCAAATGGCGACAAAAAATTAAAAAGAAACCGTACGTTTTCGGTTTAACTTACTACAAGCTGCTTTGAGAACGTGATCGAAGCATCTTTCTATAAGTGTTCTTTAAAAAAATAATCCAACGCGAACTATTTTATGTCAGGTTCCTTTGCCGCGGTAATATCTCGCGAAGCGAAGGGAACAAATGTCTATCTATTGTTTCCTTTCCAGTACGCTTCGTTGACAGTTGCCTACTGACAGGTGGTAAATTGCCGCAGGTGAAGTTATATACGCATTTTCTATACTGCCTTCGGGCTAACTATGCAAGAGATTGATTATGAATTTCTGATCGTCTCACGAAAGATTGATTCATATCTGATCTATTTATTATAACTTTTCTCATTTCTGTTTCGCGGCTGTAATACAATCATTTTTATTATTCTCTTGATAAAGATTTGTACATTTCATGACTCTCCTGTTTTGTCTATATACCCTGGCGGAAAAAAATTTTTACGAAAAAGTACAGAAAAACTATATAGATTGAGACAAAATCTTAGAAATTCTTAGTTTTTCTCATAGATATTCGTAATGAGATGTAGAGTGACGTTGTTTGAAGGCGGGGGATTTCTAGGTTTTTCAAAGAAACAATGCCGTTTTACGTCCCACTACGAATATCTATGAAAAACTAATAATTTCTAAGATCTTGTCTCAACCTATGTAGTTTTTCGTAAAACTTCTCCGCCAGGGTAACAAAAAACATATCGCTTTTACGCATTTACATTTAGGCTGGGTTGTTTCACCTTTCGGTAAACTTTAGCTCACTGTCTTACTCTCTTATGATATTATTCTTTTGTTTATCCAGTAGTAGATAAATTATAGTTTATCCGAAGATGGAACAATTAGCCCTTATTCTTTATATTAGAAAAATAAAACTAATAGTTAAATATCATATAAAAATATTGTTTTTATGCATTTATATTTAATCTTTATATTAGAAAATGAAACTTACGTTATATCTACTTTATATAAAATGTAGAAGATGAATACGGAATTCTGTGTAATTGATTTTACTTACCTTTGTCTTATAATACTGCAATAAAATAACGAATTGACCAACAATATCAAGATATATTTATAAAAATACTTTATTGCAGGTACATGATTTAATATTTAATAAATAACAAATTTGCAATAATATAATATCGCAATTAGCTAGTGTCTTTTATCACAGCGAATGAATGTCCTGCGCCAGCACCCACGAGAACAGCAACGGACTTAGATGGCACTGGAAGAAATTTTGGCTGTAAAACATTCTCCGTTTTTCCGTTACCACAGTTTCCATGCTCGTTCCAGCCCCAGCACAGCACTGCTCCATTATCTGTTAAATTAAATTATTTCTTATGACATATATAATAAAATATTTTTAAATATACATTCTCAATTATATAAAATTGTAATTATTTGCCGCGTCTTTTATTTTTTTAGCATTTGCACATTTTTATCGCATATAATAATTTACCGGTTAAGGCAATATTATGCTCCGATCCAACTGAAAGTTGAACGATTTTCGGGATGTGTTCAATACACTGAAGTCTCTCTTCCATAAAAATTCCATCCTGTGGTTTCAATAAAGAACGGCCTAATTGACCATAATCATTTCTTCCCCACGAAAAAATAATACCGTCTGAAATTATATGTGTATTTTAATATGTAAACAGTTCAATATATGTAGCAAAAACACAAAGTGAATTTAGTTTACTTACTGCTCAAAATATTTATGTGGCTCCAGCCTGTATGAATTTGAATTGGTACATCGTGTTGTATGCCAGAGAGTAGAATACATAAAGGTTGCGATATTCGTATTTCAGAAGATGTTTTTGGAAAAAATCCCAGCTGTCCATGCTTGTTATCACCAAAGACATATATATTATATGTTTGTCTTTTTGTTAGGACAATAGTATGATACTGACCACAGGTAACATTTTCCACGTTTCCTTGCATTGTCCGTTCTGTAACTGTTCACCTGTGTTTTAATTAAATGGAAATATTTTCATTTTCTTATAATGAAATGTATTTTCAATAGAACAGTTGTCGACTATTTAAGTTATAAGTGATGAAATAAATGATTTAAAATGTATAAAATTCAATCCATAAGAGTGATAAGTAAATATTGAAACTATAAATACACTATAAAATAATAGTACATATAATAAAAAATATATTAATAGATATTCGAGGAAATTTAATGTCTTCAGAATTTTTTAATTTATACATTTATTTTTACAGAAAAAAAATTATTCAAAGTATGATTTGTTATATACCTTTGGTGAATGCACCAAGAAGACTATAAAGCTTCATGGTTTCTGGATTAATCAAACCCAATTGTCCCCTATTATTTGATCCACAAACATAGAGCTCATGGTTCTCTGTTGCTACGGCGGTATGTCGCAGACCCATTGAAACATTCTTTATTTTCTCGCCAAATGAAATTTTGCGGGGATGAGGTATTGAAAGATAAACTGAAGGATCCAAACCTAATTGTCCATAACGATTGGAACCCCATACATATAACTCGCCATTCCTTGTTAATGCTGCGGAACTGTCCCATCCACAGCAGACATCAATCACTATTTCATGTTCAAGAGCACATATCCTTTGAAACATCAGAATATTTTCTTGCTCGATGTTGGTGTTTCCAGCTTGCCCTTTGTTGTTCAGTCCACAGGAATAAACACGACCATTTGTGTCTAAAATCAGGGTGTGTCCAGCACCACCGACAATTTTCCTGATGAGTTCTGGCCTCAGGGAACATCTGGATAAATCAACTTCTTGAGGTAGAATAAATTGCTCGGATAATAAACCTTGTCCTAGTTGACCGTGGGAATTTGCACCCTGTAAAGTATACCCAAGATTTTTCAGATTCTTTTTAAATCTGCTATAGATTTACATTTTGAAAGTTTAGCTATTTTAATTTTTTACTACTAATTTTTGCTTTCACTCAGCATGCGTATTCAGAAAATCTGATCTCACGAAGTGTGTACACGCACGATAAAAGTTTTCGTCAAATAACGTGACAATCTAGATGTTTTATTTATAATTATCTTACCCATGAAATCAAACGATACGTAGACATTATATTTGAATTATATTCTTTATTAAACATTTTCTTTCTTATAATTCAGAATATATTTTCTTTCTTTGCATTACTCCACGTGACGACATTCTATATCCGCATATTTATAAAATGTGACAAATGCGTCATTTGGAACAGGCAGGTGCTCATGAAAATCTCCAATTACAACAGCTTAGCGCAAAAGTCTTTCTTGGTCGATGAAATATCCAATACATATTTTGCTAAATAATTTCTTGTTATTCAGCAAAAATAATATGCTATTTTTTTGTTTATGCATTTAAATAGTTTCATGTGCAGCAGCCTTTAGTAAGTTCCATGCACGAATATTTGTGTTAGATTAATGGTGCGTTCGGGAAGACGCTAATAGCGCTATTCTGTCATTCTATCTTCGTTGTTTATTAAACGTAAAACAAGGATAGAATGACACAATAGCGCTAATAGCGTCTCCCTGAACGCACCTTAAGGCTGCGGGCCTCTTGACGCTACAAACGCTTCGAAGCGTTTGAGCGACCAATCAGAACAAAAAATTTTACGAATTGACTAATCAAAGACTGTTCCAAAATTGACTGCCAGTACTGAAAATCTATAGTGCACGTAACATAAACTGTAGCATTTTCTGTGCTGGCAGTAAATTTGGAACATAGCCAAAGAATGCTTCGAAGCGTTTGTAACGTCAAGTGGACCGCAGCCTAATGCTGGATTCACACTGCATATGATTGTAAACAAATATGCCGGCATACAAGCAAGTTGCATTAAGAAATGTAGATTAATTAAATAAGAATTTATTTCTGGCTGTGTAACATTAAATGTTATTATTTTTGTAAGTGACGTAACGTAGAAGAATCAATTAAGCTGAGCAAAATGCAGGAATCCGTGAAGTTCAATCTTAAAGAGGTTAAATTGGATCTTCTGCATGCAATACACGAATGCTCCCAGCGTGGTTTGCTGCACACTACCAAATGGTGAATTTTTGCTTGAGTAAATATATTACAGTCCTTTGTGTACACTTTTAGGATTCCACACTCATGTCTCTTTGTTATAGGTTAGCGGAATTAAATTATTCATTGAAAAATGTAGATATAGATGATTTGACTATACATGCCAAGGTACCAGAGATCAGTGAAGCAGAAGATATCTATACCTTGGCTAAAACATACTTTGATTTAAAGGAATACGATAGAGCGGCTTATTTCACAATGGACTGCGTAAGTCCTAAGATTAGATTTCTACATTTGTATTCACGTTATTTATCAGGGGAGAAAAAGAAGATAGACGACATGACGGATGTGCCACCGGATCCTCTGAAGAACGAGACTCTAAAGTACCTTTGTGCCGATTTAAGATCGGATCATTTGGCATCGAAGCTAGATGGTTATGGACTATATCTTTTTGGTGTAACATTGAAGAAGCTACAACTCATTAGAGAGGCGACAGATGTTCTAGTAGAATCTATTCATAAGGAGCCTATGCATTGGGGTGCATGGTTAGAGCTGGCTGCATTAATCACAGACAGGGAGAAGCTGGAGAGCTTATGCCTTCCTAATCATTGGATGAAATATTTTTTTATGGCACACATGTACTTAGAATTACAGCTCATAGATGAAGGCTTAGCATTATATTGTCAATTGCAATCAATGGGTTTTCAGAAAAATGGTTATGTTTTAGCTCAAACTGCAATTGCAGTGCATTACAGAAGAGGCGAGTTAGCGAATTCAATATTTAGAATAAACAACTGTTTATAATCTTTATTGAAATATTTTGAATTAATCTTCTTTCTTGATTATATAAATTGATTTTAGAATTTAGTTAAATCTATCACATGTTCATAATTATTTGAAATATATTTCTTCTAAATAATATTCTAATAATAAGCAATAAGTTGCTTGAATATCATAAAAATTTTTTATTTTAGATGTTGATAATGCAATAGAAACTTTCAAAAGAATAATAGATGAAGATCCATATTGCCTTGATAACATGGATACTTATTCGAATTTACTTTACGTGAAAGAAATGAAAGTTGAATTAGCAGATTTGGCGCACAGGGCTACTGAGATAGATAAATACAGATTAGAGACTTGTTGTATAGTTGGTAAGTATTAATTGTACATGTCTTTGAAAAGCACACTTTCATATTTAAGGAAAATACACTTTAAGAAATATTTAAAAAATAATGCCCTTTTAGGAAATTATTACAGCTTAAGAGCTGATCATCAAAAAGCAGTGATGTATTTTCACAGAGCATTAAAAATGAATCCTCAATATTTATCAGCTTGGACATTGTTAGGTCATGAATTTATGGAAATGAAAAATACCAATGGTGCTATTCATAGTTATAGACAGGCGATTGGTAAATTCTTTGAACATTTTTTGTTTGCATCGGCAACATATCACATCTTTCATTTATATTTTTCAACTTGCTAGAGGTGAACAGACGAGACTATAGAGCATGGTATGGTTTGGGTCAGACGTACGAAATTTTGAAAATGCCATTTTATGGACTATATTATTATAAACAAGCTCAGCTTTTAAGGCCCCATGATAGTAGGATGGTTCTAGCCTTGGGCGAAGCATATGAAAAGCAGGATAAAATTCAAGACGCACTCAAATGTTATTACAAGGCATGCAATGTAGGCGATATAGAAGGAATGGCACTCTTAAAATTAGCAACGTATGTATCCGATATGTAGTATTAAAATGACAGAAATAATATATGTATATTTTGTTTTGCCACAGACTGTACGAGAAATTAGGAGAACACGATCATGCAGCGGCAGCTTATACAGATTTTGTAATGGACGAATTTCGAAGTGTCGATAGAACAGAACTGAGTCATGCATATAAATATCTCACACAGTATCACTTAAAGAAGGAACAATTGGATCAAGCTAATCACTATGCACAGAAGTGCCTTCAGTTTGATGAAACAAAAGAGGAAGCAAAGGTGCTGTTACGAACTATCGCTGAAAAAAGAGTGAAAGTAGAAGAAACTTCTATGGTGGTAAGTAACATTATTTACTAATAATTAGCAAAACAATTGAATTTCGTTAATTTTTCCAGGTGGATGATATGAACGAAACGGATCCTGTGATTGAGCAAAGAACGCGAACGGATGCAACACCTGGAAGTCAACTATCGCCAATGAATCTTTCGTTCACACCTACACCATAAATAAAACGAATATTTTCCGTTCATAGTATATAATTTTAATGCTTGTAATTCTGTATATAAATACAAAGGATTCATTTTTTTGTATTATATATTTTTTTTCCTACATAATGTTAAAATTTCTCGAGATTTTCATATCTTCATGTGTTAAGTACAAGTGGCTGTAATTGTAATTAATTATTGGATAGCATATGTATATATAAATTATAAAAAATCAAAATTGCAAAATTCAATTTTTTTCTCTGGTCGGAAAAAATCCATAAGTGGTTATTAAATTCAATACCAATTCAATCCGAATACTTACAATGTTTATTTATGTTTATTACAAAAATTAATTGTGCAGTCAATTCATGTGTTAATATTTAACTTATATACTAATATTAAGAATAAATCTTTTATCGATACCTTTATAATATATTGCAATAGATTTGTATGAATTATGTCCTGTCGAAGATTTATTTAGAATTCCATTAATTACATTCTATCATTGTAAGAAAATATCCTTATATAGATCTAATGTATATAATTAATGTATATAATTCTTATTGTTAAGTATAAAATGCAACTGATTACCAGTTGAAGTATTTAATTTGCATTTGGACATTTTTTTTTCGGCGAGTTATTATTGACCAATATTGTTTCCTGTAAATACATAACATATATTCATATATTTTCAATAATCCCTACAATTTATTCTTTAGCAATATGTAATTTCGGAATTTATATTTACTTCATCATCGGAACATTCGAGGTAATTTCTTGTTTCTCTAAATCGCTGAATAATTCGTTCATGTGGCGAAGTTGCAATAAGGTGTCGTGGATATTGATATTCTTTTCTTGCTGGCGTTAAACCTAAAAAGAAATGTTAAATGAATTTTCAAGTCTGTTTTTTGTTACTGCACCAGATTGCAATAAAACTTTCGATAAAACGGGTTCGATTTCCGGCAGAACCAATTTTCATACGCTTGTATCTCCTCTCGGAAGGCAATGGCAAACCATCGAGAGTATCTTTGTCAAGAGCATTTCTCTAATAAAAATTTCGTCGTTCGGAATCGACGTTAAACTGTAGGTTCCATACGACTGTGTACAACGCTGGTGGTGCCAGCGTGCGCACCACAGGCATATGAGAAATCACCACACTCAATACGCCATGAGCAATAGGACTGAGATGATGATAAAAATTAGAGATTTACCTGTAGGTGTATCATGCCGTAAATCTTCAAGGAATTTGCCAATTTTTTCTTGTATTAAATGCATTTCTGTAAGTGTTTTGTCATTCCAGACAGATGAATGTTTACTTTGACTTGCAAGCTTATCATTCAGTTCTATGGACATTTGTAGATTTTTCTCTTTTAATTCTTCCGCAAGCTTTTTGTGATCATGACTTCTTTGTACTAGTGTATCATACATATTCTGTAAGAGAAACAATTAGATATATGTATTATCTCTATACATGTACAAAATAATTTTAATGTATACACAAAATAGATTTACTTTGATAGATTCAATAGAAGAAGAATCATCTTTCTTCAATTTTTGTTTCATTTGTGTCGTATTACTTTCGACATGTAGTTCATTCCGTACTAGTACATCGCAGTGATTATTTAAGTCAATTTGAAGTTCGTTAGTCAAATTACGGCTATGTTTTACAATTTGCTCTGCTAATGTCCAATTCTACAGAATAAAAGATACAGAATTAGTATATTATCTTGTTCATATTATTTTAAGTATTTAATAATTTGAAAATTAATGAAAGTTAAATGTTACCTTTTCCGTGTTAGATACAACATCGTTTTTGAGTATATTTATACCATTCTGAATTTCTTGTTGCAGAGTCTCACTACTTTCAACAGTCTTTTGGCAGTTATTGAGAATATCATTAGTTGTACTGCTGCAAACTTCATTAACATGATTTAAGGTAGCACATGCAGTGGAATAATTCTCATTCATGTTTTCATTTAACTTGTTAAATTGTAGCCATAGACTTTCAAATGACTGTAAAATAAGGACAATATATATAATTTGAATAAAATTATTAAAATATCAATCAAAAAATAAACAAAAATGTTATTTAAAAAATAGCATCAGATAACAGAATTATTACTAAATCATACCTTTTTAAATCTTTCTTGATCTTCCATGATTTTATCATCACCTTGACGAATAGTTTGTACATTCTGTCTTATCATATCTATATTTTTATGTAAATTATCACGTTCTTGCAACTTGTTATTACAAAGTTGTCTTGTAGATTCATTTGTATATGCCAATAATTCATCAAACTTCTGAGATACGTTATCATTTAAACGACGTAAGTTCTTTACAATTTCCATATTATTAACTTCTATCAAATCATTAACTTTTGATGTTAGTTTTAGGGATATGTCATTCAAAGATTTACGTTCATGTTGAGTCATATCAGATGAATGTGCCATTTCTGTGTCTAGCCACTCATGATAGTGTTTGTACTAAAGAGAAATTTTTATTATATACATTTTTTTTTGTTGTATTTTATATATGTAAATAATACTTACCGAATTATGTATATTATTCATGATTTCATCTGTTGCTAACTTTTGTTTATTAACAATATCATTCGACATATGGTAGATTAGTGCATGAATATCTTTTTTAAATAGTTCCATTTGTGAATCTGTAAAAATATCTGTATAATGTACGTATCCCACATTTATCAAGTGTGTCCTGATAATTTTTACTTACCAATGTTACTATTCATAGAAGTGCAAAAATCTATAAATCCTCGTGTATTAACTGTAACATTATTTTCCATATCTTGAAATTGTTTTGAAATATTACTTCGGAACTGATGACTGATATGTTCGTTTTCTTGTTCCAATTGTCTATGAACATGTATTTTTAAATGTATTTTTTTAAATGACCTAATTTTAAGATTTTTTAAATGATATAATGCTATCATATTATTCAAGAAATATTAATCTATATCACAAAATATTAATGCTTAATAATATAATAAATTTTGAGAGCGAGCGTAGCAGAGCAGACAGCGCACTGGTCTGCTATGCTAGAGATCCCGAGTTCGATTCGCGCCAGAATCAAAAATATTTTCATACGCTCGTATCTCCTCTCAGAAGACACTGGCAAATCACTGAGAGTATCTTTGCTTAAGAGCACTTCTCTAATAAAAATTTCGTTGTTCGGAATCGATGTTTCGAAACTGTAGGTCCCAAATGACTGTGTAGAACCAGCATGCACACCACAGGCATATGAGAAAAGTCATCACGCTCGGCCACAAGCAATAGGACTGAGATGATGATGAATATAATAAATAAATATGAAAAATAATGTAGTTACCTCTTATAATAAATTTTATCTTGAAGCTTATTTACATCGATTGTCGCCGCATCCGCTACATCCAAGAGTGTTTGTGCTTGCGATAAAAGCTGTTTTTCTGCAGATACATGTTTTTCTACTATGTGACATTGTTCTTCTTTTTCACGTTCTGTCATTTGTAAAAGAGCTTCGGTCGATTTTAAAATATGTGTAGTGCATTCTAATTGTTCTTCGGTTTTATGCAGATAATTAGTTTGTGCGACATGTTCCTCTTCTAAATCATTAAATATTTCCTAAACAAAAATAAAATTTAGGATAAGTATTAATTACTTAATAGTGTTTATACTATAATAAAATAGAAATTAATCATTGTGTAATTACTTCCTTAGCATCCATAGTTTCTTTAAGTACTTTGATGTGTGCTATTTTTTCTTCAATTTCCCTGGTTTGATTTTCAATTAATGTTTGCATTTCATTATAATTCTCATGCGCCAAATATACACCATTTCGTTCACGTGCTGCTAACAAGTCTCTTCTAAGTCTCTCAATTTCTTCTGTATACTCTTTAAGCAATGCTCTCTTAGACAATTTCTGATTGATTTCAGGACGATTTGTAATGTTTTTAGCACGATGAGCATAATCTAATGTCGATAAGGTTTCTTCAAGATTTATACTCGCTGGAGACACTGTTGCAATGATTGATGTTTTTGTACGTCCTCCTAATGATTCTTGCAAAAGTCTTGTTAATTTTGATTCCCTGACCAATAAAAAACACAAAAAATAGATTAGATCAATATATTTCACAGATAGATATTTATTAAATTTTAATGTTAATGTAATTTTTAAATTTCTCATATATTCGTATTTATGAAATTATATTACGTAAATTTATGTTACCGATATGGTATATGAGGTGCTCTTTCAACAAGTGCTGTTATAACTCGACCAAGGGTTAATAGTGATTGATTAATATTTCCTGCTTCTCTCGCTCTCCTATCAACTGCACCAGATCTTCCAACATTTTCACTCCCGGCTAAATCTACTAAATTTAATTTTCCCGTCTTTAATAATTCTTCGCCATCCACATTATTCTCTTTTATATGAATAGTAATTGAAAATACTGTATGGGAACGGCTAAAAGGAAAAATATATAAGTAGCGTAAAGTTTTAAAATAAATTACATATTTTTAATTTAAGACAAGAATAACCTTGAATGAGCATTCATTAAAGTTGCAGCTGTTTGTCTTTTCTCCGATCCTTTTTCTAAGATCTTGTAAACTTCATTTTTATTATGTACAGTTACTTCTTCTAATCCGTGAATGATCACTGAACCTTTTCTTGTGGCATCTTCATAAAGCCTAAAGGATTATAAATACTATGCTGATCTAATTTTTATATTTTTTATAAGAATATAATATTACCTTATTTTAGATGCATCATCAGTAGGTGATAATAAATCAAATAATTCTTCATTGTATAACTCAAGAAAGCTAACTCGAACTGTATATTCTTGTGATTCCAACAAACGTAATTCATCAAACAAATGACTCAATGCACGTGGTATAATACCAGCTGTAGTATCCTATAAAAATAAATCTCAATTATACAAGCATACATTACATTATCACATTTATAAGGTACAATAAGATATGAAAGTTAGTTCAAAATTTTATATAAGAAATTATAGAAGAT